GTGTGTGTGTGTGTGTGTGTGTGTGTGTGTGTGTGTGTGTGTGTGTGCCCAACTGGTTAGCTAATCGAAGCCACTCATGGATGGAGGAAATCCCACAATCAAAGATATGATCTTGATTTCGAACTGTGCACTTTGAAGTGTACAGTAAAGCTTTGTCTGTATTCATCAAAGAAACATGTGCTTCGCTACCTGACTGGCTGCTTTCGCCACCATTTTCTTGTGAGTTCTCCATTAGATCCACTTGTGGAGCTTGTGCGTCTTCTGTGGGAAGAAACAAGAGTCAGACAGTTTGATGAAGACGGGGAACTTCATTCAATGTTTGAAGTATTAACTAGCTAGGATTTCAGAAAATGTGTATACCTATATATGAATGATATGTAAGGTATAAAAACTTGATAATAAATTACAGAAGGTTGCAGAAAAGCTTTCTTATTCAAGTTGAATTCATGATACACTTTGCATGTTGTGAGCACACAAGCAGGAAGAGAAAAGCGGCACTTTTTTTTTTTTTTTTTTCGAATTGTTCCAACAAAACCTTTTGATTTGAGTAAAACATATAAACCGCAAGTGTTTTTCTGCCAACTTCCTGTTCACTTGTGAGGCAGGAACCCGGTGCTGTTCTGGAGAACTAAACAGGAAACCAAACAGGAAACCAAACCAATGCTCTCCGAGGAAACAGAACACTCCGATCCAATAAACACAGAGCCAAACTGTAAAACCACTGTACCTGTTCCAAACATCACCTTTTATAGGGTTTGCATTTCTTTCATTTTCACGAGACTCGGCAATGAAAATAAATTTGGGATAGAAGTAATTTACTGTAAAAAAAAAATAAATAATCCATAATTATTTATCCACTTGCCCGGTTAGTACGGTTCGTTTGGGCCTGGTGTGAAAGCTGTCAATCAAACCCGTGAGCGGACCAAACAATCAAATAAAGACCGGTGAAAAGATCATGAAACCAGTTCAGGAAACGATCTTTTAGAATTGTACCCGGTCATTTCATGAAGACCGTTGACAAAGAAACGCTCAGACAGTAATAAGCCCTGAATCATTACTGTTGAAGACGCCTCCTTTTTGTCCTGTCTCTACCTGTTAGTCATTCTTCATAACATGCAACGATTTGCAGACTAATAACAGCCTGCTGATAATGCTTTGTGATCAGTTGTTTCTTCGAGAACTCTTTGTGACAACAAAGAACACAAACAGAAAGTCTGCTCTCTGTCGGTGACACCAGTGAAACAAAGCAAACATCTCCTAACAACATAACAAATGAAAACACGTTTATGAAAGACAACATGAACTGTAATGAAATATGTAATTTAGACTATTAGACTCTCATCTACTGGCTTAGGGGAAGTTATATACGTCATCCACGTCTCACAGCAAAGTCTAAAGTTAGCTCCAATATCTGCAGGGACGTTTAACACATCGCTATGTAATGGGATTTCCTGAGAGTTTAATGTTTGAATAACCCAGCTAACTCAAAACAGCAAATTCAATACATTATTCAAATTAGGAAGTCAAGTTTTTCTTTTAGCTGCTTGGTTTTGTTTATGTAAAAACAGATTTGTTTGAAGAAGATGGATGATGCCTCAAACAGGCTTCAACAAACCTTTTGATTCCAACGGTGCGGCCACTGTTTCAGCTGCTCTGCTTGCTTTGCTCTTCTTTGATTTCTAAAAATGAAGTTGATTATTATAAGAAGACAAGCATTTATGATTGGATGAATCAGTTTTTCATAGTGAAGACAATCAGGATACTTTCCAACCCAATTAAATATGATATAGTTTATTCAAACCAGACAACAGCCCACTCTCTCTCTCTCTCACACATCTTCCTGTTAGATCAGCAATTCTGTTTAAAAAACAAACTCACCTTAGTTTTGGCTTTGGCCCGCCCCTCTTCCATCCTCTTCCTCAGCTTCTCCACCTCCTCCTTAGTGCCGTTGAGCACAACAACATCCTCAATTTTAAATGTTTCGCCACACTAAAACAAAAACATGAACGCTCAGTTAAGAGACACAGACCGACAGTCTGAAATAATTGCCAAGACATATTTTAGTGTACTTCTTATCCTTTTATGTCATGTTTTTTTTTTTTACTTATTTAGTGCGTTTTTAAATGTTTTAACAATCAGAAATGGGCCATAAGTTACAAAGGGTTGGGGAAACCTTTTAAAGTGTCTTTCACCATGACACATTTAACTAATATATATTTAGGTGTGAGGCTAGTTTAAAGATGCATTTCTCTGAGGTTAACACGATTTCTAAAAAAACACATCACCCGGATACATCAGGACATTCAAATATGCAAACCTCTGTAAAAACAAGTAATGACTCAGTGAAAAGTCCACAAACTCCAGATAAGGAGATGTAGTCCTACTTTGACTTGCAAAGCAATGTTTTGTTTATCCGGCTGGGTGCAAATCACAATAAATGTTTATGAATGTCATCGTAAACAGCCATGGCTGCTTCAAAGAAAGGAAAAACACACCTATATCCAAACAAATATTAAACCCTTGTGTAACCATTGTGTTGCCGTAATGCTGGGCTGGGGGGGGGGGGGGGGGGG